CATCAATTCTGCATGTAGGTGCGGTTTGTTTCTGAATTTCCGTTATTGCTTTTTATCTGTGATGATGCCAGTGTTGCATTTGCAGCAAACTGAATATTCTCTCCTGAATTCTAACCTCAGGTGACAGTGCTCAGGGCAAGGTCGGCATACCTGCTCCCCCCGCCCCGCCCCCCCCCCCCCCCCCCAGTGTGTATCTGTCCATTTAAAGTGTGCAGTCGGTAGGTGCCATGATTTAGGTTTTGTCTTCATATGCTTGGACAATTTCTGCTTTTTAACTGGGGCATTCAAACCATTTACACTGAATTTGTGCTTAAGTGTACCATCTTGATATGTTTCTATTTGTTTCTAATGTGTTCTCTTCTTTTTTTCCCTTCCTGTTTTGGGCTGATTTTTATTTCATCTTCTTTGCTGCGTTGTTAGCTGCCCTAGTTTAGTTGTTACGTTAGGTGTTAGCTTACCACAGACTGCATTCCGAGACAGCTACCATCCAAGCATGGTTGCCCATGCCAGTAATCACAGCACTCTGGAAGAAGAGGAAGGAGGGTTGTGAGTTTGAGGTCGTCCTGGGCTGTATCATGAGATCCTATCTCAAAAAAGGAAGGACTGGACAAAAATGAAGGGAGAGGAGAGAGAGAAGAGGGGTAGGGGAGGAAGAGGCGGCATGGATGGCCTGTGTTCTTTGGGTCATGTGAACTGAACATCATGTCCTGTAAAGATATTCTGCCTCCAGAACTGAGGCAGGTTTGCTTTAGAGAGATGATCATTTCTCAAGGACATTTAAATGAGAAGTATGTGTTTGCTTTATCCATACAGCTCCCATGTCGGGCTCCTTTCTCCGTGGGGTGGGCTGGATGAAAGGGAACCCTTTTCTCTGTATTGAGGGCTGACTTGAGCATTCTTAGGTTGCAAGTCACTGGTGATCATTTCTGTCAGCGTTTGTCTGCATGAAAGTCTTTGTCCGGATTGTAGTTTTCCTGGGAAAAGCATTATAGGTGAGCAGTTTCTTCTAATTTGATCTGGGAACACCCATCTCTCTGTTGCTGTGTAAGAAATATGTCCCTTAGCCAGGCACCAGTGGCTCACGCCTGTCATCCTAGCTACTCAGGAGGCTGAGATCTGAGGATCACAGTTCACAGCCAGCCCAAGCAGGAAAGTCTCCGAGACTCTTATCTCCAATAAACCACCAGAAAACCGGAAGTGGTGCTGTGGCTCAAGTGATAGGGTGCTAGCCTTGAGCTGAAGAGCCCAGGGACAGCGCCCAGGCCCAGAGTTCAAGATCCATGACCGACACACATACACAAAAACAAAAAAAGAAAAAAATTGTCTCTTTTCAATTCAGGTTAATTGTTTAAAATATCTAATTGCTTTTTCCTTTTTTTCCCCTTATTTTTCGTGCTTGTACTGGGGCTTGAACTCAGGGCCTCAGCACTGTACTACAGCTTTTTCTGCTCTACCACCTCAGCTACAGCTCCACTTCCAGCTTTTTTGGGCTAATTGGAGATGAGTCTTTTGCACTTTTCTGACTAGGCTCTGAACTGTGGTCCTCAGAGCTCAGCCTCCAGAGTAGCTAGGATTTCAGGCGTGAGCCAATGCACCCTGCTTCTGTTCCATTTTAAACAGCACTGCCATCTCTTGAAGACCATTTACCGGAGCTGGGAAGGGGCTCAGTGGTAGAGCGCTTGCCTTGCATGCCTGAGGCCCTGGGTTTGATTCCTCAGCACCACATACGCAGAAAGAAAAAAGCCAGAAGTGGTGCTGTGGCTCAAGTGGTAGAGTGCTAGCCTTGAGCTGAAGAGCTGAGGGACAGTGCCCAGGCCCAGAGTTCAGGCCCCACGACTGGACCCCCCCCCAAAAAAAAACCCACCAAAAACCCAAAAAGACCATTTACCTTTTCTTTGGTGATATTCAGCCCAAACAGGGCAGCTTTCATCACTAGAATTTGGATTTGTGTCTTAAAATATCTTCCATGTTTCTTTTAAATACACTCAATTTTGTCTCTAGCTTGTTTTTCAAATGATGTGATGCAATGGTAGCTATTGTCAAAGCATCTGCTAATTTTGGTTGTTTGTGTTCCTTGGTTATAAGGTGTGTGTGTGTGCATCCTGGCATTTCCAGTTGGATGCCAAGGGCAGTGGACATGTCCTGTTCTGCAGGGACCGCCTTGTAATCCTGTACACATCTGAGCTGCAGGTAAGTTGCTTAGAGTCTGGCCAATCTTTCAGGGCTTGCTTAGAGCTTTGAGACCCGAGAGATGTTTATTCTAGTGTTAACCTTTCCTCGCTGTGGAAATGTTAATATAAACTGCACTTTGTGTTGAATAGAACTACTGATATTCTTGGATTTAAGTTTACCATTTTGCTATATTTGTAATATTTATTCTTCCTCCTTCCCTGCCTGGCTTGGACACAATTACCATTTATATTAATTGTCTCTTGGCCACTGTCCTCCCTGGAGGGCTTAGCACATGCATTTCTAGGTTCTCACACTCCGTTATCCTCAAATAATATCAATCACCTGCAGGGATCCAAATTACTGCATGTTATTCTTTTAATTCTGCCTGGAGGGGTGGCTGGTTGTGGACCGATGGAATGGGTCACTGCCACTGTCCACAGCTTTCTGTCTAACATGACAGAGGCAGGCCAATAAAGGCTTCAGAGAGCGGGGCTGGGACTGGAACCTTGGGAGCCTGGCTGTCCTTGGCACTGGCTGAGGTCAAGGAACCACAGCGGTGTGGAGACAGAGGACAGAGTGGGGAGGAAAGTTCTGGTTGCTCTCCTGTGCCCCCACAGCAGCCACTGGAGGTCACTGTCAGCCAGCGTCACGCCCTGTCCTGTATGGTGAGCACTCACCCCAGAGCTGTGGCCCCAGTCCTACACAGCCCACCCACCACTGCCCTCAACCAGGCCCTGCCCCTCTGCCCTGCACAGCCCCGCCCACCAGTCCTTGGAGGCCGGCCCACTACTGTCCTGCACCAGCCCCGCCCACCAGTCCTTGGAGGCCGGCCCACTACTGTCCTGCACCAGCCCCGCCCACCAGTCCTTGGAGCCCCTTTCCCACATCAGTGGAGGTTCTTCAGCAGGGGCTGAGCACAGGCTGGCTCACCCTCGCCCTGGTTTGGCTTCAGTTCCCCCAGCAGTCTGAACCCCTGGAATGACTTTCCTGTCCGCTGCTAGGGCACCTGGGCTGCAGGGCTGGCTGTGTTTGGAAGCTCAGGGCGGAGGCAGGTCCCTGACAAGCAGACATCCCCGAGGACCCTGCCTGCGATGGGCCCAGCCCAGAGCAGGGCAGCTGTGTGAAAGTATGTGGTACCTGTCTTCATTAAAGAGAAAAAAGCAACCCAAAAGCTTAAGCACATGTGCTCAGTTTCAAAGGCACTACTGAGTAAAAATCACAACTGCCAAGTGTAGCTGGAAAGGTGGCTCAGAGGTGGAGCGCTTGCCCTGCATGCATGAGGCCCCAGTTCCATTCCTCAGCACCACATACGCAGGAAAAGCCGGAAGTAGTGCTGTGGCTCTAGTGGTAGAGCGCCAGCCTTGAGCACCGAGAGGCTCAGGGACAGCGCGGCACCCAGGCCCCGAGTTCAAGCTCCATGACTGGCCAAAAAAAACCCCCAAAAACAAAAAAAACCCCACAAAAAAAAAAACGACAAGGAATGCATAAACTGAGTGAAATTGCCAACATAATCGTACACTCGGGCCTGGCGGCCATCCCATCAGGGTGTCCAGCCCCAGGCATTTGCCTGGGCACCATCACATCCTCACCTTTGGTCTACCAAACCTCCATTTCTGAGGTGTGACTGAAGGTTTGACCCGCACCCTGTCCTCCCAGGAGCAGACATGAGGCGAGCCCAGCTGAGCACAGCAGCCTGACACGGACAGGGCGACCCGCCCCCCCAGCCTGCTGCTGACCGTCCATTGTGGGCCTAGCCCTTACGGCTCTGAGGCCAGGAAAGGGTTAAGAGGCTGGAAGACTAAAAACTATCATGTGAAGGTCAAGCTGTGTAGGCCAGACAGATGTAGAGCTGTTTGAACACTGAGCCCTGGATAAGGGACTACTTACCCTATTCTTTGCCCGTACGGTGCAGTCGCCCCACACCAAACCCGTCTCCCTGCCCAGACCCTATAAAACCCTGGACTCCACCCCACGCCCCATCCCAACGGGAAGGCCGTGCCTCGGCTGCGTAGCTCGGTGAACAGTCCTCACCTGTGAAGACTGAGGCTGGCCTGCCTCCTTCCTCTCCATGCTCCTAACACTGACACCTCAGCGGTTTCTCTTGTTTCTAAATCTTTCACAGGTTCCATGGGGCTGAATGTAAGAGCCATTTTCCTTTCAATAAAAGTATGTTAAAGGCACCTGTGCATAAAACAGAGCAACTACGAATCAAATCACCAGGAGCAGGTGAGTCTGTTTGTTACTGTCTGCAGTTTTTGTTGTTGTTGGTTGTGGAGCTTGAACTCTAGGTCTGGGCGCTGTCCCTGAGCTCTTCAGATTGAGGCAAGCACCACTTTTGGTTTTCTGGTGATTTAATGGAGATAAGAGTTTCATGGATTTCCCTGCCTGGGCTGGCTTTGAACTGTGATTCTCAGATCTCAGCCTCTTGAGTAGCTAGGATTAAAAGCGTGAGCCATGGGCACCTGACTATATATTTTTTTGTTTTTGGTGTTGGTACTGAGGCTTGAACTCAGGGCCTTGGCATTGTCCCTGAGCTTGTTGGCTCAAGGCTAGTACTCCAGCACTGGAGTCACAGCTCTTGAGGGTCTCATGGCCATTCCTGCCTGGGCTGGCTCCCAACAGAAATCCTCCTGAGTAGCTGGGATTACAGGTGTGAGCCACCAGCGACCGACTGTCTGTAATTCTGAAGCCTTCCAGGGCTCTTTCAAGCTACCATGAAAGCTTTGTCTTTCCAACACAGCTCAACTAGTTTCTAGACCTTTCTACAAACAAATCTCATTTCTGTTGGTTCTCCTGTCAATCAAGTGCTGAAACAAACACACCTTCAGTACGCAAGACTTTACGTTGTTTATTCCACTGAAAATCTAGTTTTTTACACGGACCCGTCCCGCAGCCCCGCCCGCTGTACACATTCACAGTCCTGATGCCGTGACCGAGGTCACCGTGAGAGAAACGGAGTCAGGAGGAGCAAACATCGATTCCGAGCCTGCGTCTCAGAGGTGGCATTTCGTGAGAACCCCTTCATCTGCAGGCCCGCGGGAAGGGGGCTGGGCCCCCGAGTATCTTAGTTATTACCTCCGTCATTGCTCCTTTGTCAGTTTTTAAAAAAAATGAATTTTATGCATTCTCTAATTATAAAAACACCCACTATTAGCTACCAAGGCTGCATTCAAACATCTGCAGCCCTCGGGCCCGGGGTGCCGGGCCGGCCCGAGACCGCGCTGCGCTGTCCCGTGGCAGTGTGTGCTGGGTGGCTGGGGTTCGGGTTTTCTGCCGGTCTCCTGGGGGGGACGCATGCCAGGCACTCACCAAGGAGGCTGCGTGCGTCAGCCCCCGGGCTCACTGGCCGTAGAGCCATTTCTATAAAAATGCCCCAGTGGAACCTCCAATTCATCTTAGAAATAAGTTCCAAACCTAGGCCATGTAAGGAAACAAATCAAATCCACTCCACCTTTGTGCTTCAAGGGTGGGTTTCTGTGTCATCAAAAGCAACAAAGCCAGGTAACTTCAAAGGTATCCCTGTGTTGGCAGAGACGTGGCCAGTGGCTGCCGCCCTGCATGGAGGAACCGGCTACACTCCTCACTCAGAGTGGCTGCTTCGTCCTAAGTGGCCACAACGGTGAGCAAGAGAAAGTGACACCAGGGCCTGGCCAGGGGGAGGCCGCGGTCAGCTGCCGGGAGGGGGAGCAGGTGGATGGGCGACCGCATGGCCCTTCACCATAGGCTTTAATCCGAGGAAGCAGATCTCAGTGTATGGAAACAGAAATACCAAACGGGTCACATTTATAAAAAAGAGAGGGATTAAAAAGGCTTGAGGAGAGCTCAGAAGGTGTCAAACGGCGGGAGTCCCCGCGGAAGGGACGGACCCGCCACGCCCCCCACTCTGTAAATAAATGTCCTCTGGTGCTCACAAGAGAAATGAAGTAGAAAAACAAGTTTCTCTTTTTTTAAAAAAAGTTGAATGTTTTCCAAAGTACCTAAATGAGGTTTATAAAATACTAATGAGCTCCACACAAATATAGAAATGCTTAAAAAACTGGGCGATGGCCCCGCGCCGAGCCCACGGGGTGGGGAGGGGGCGCGGGGTGGCCGGGACCACGGTCATGCGCAGAGGAGCGGCGAGTGCGCGTGCCCGGCCGCCGCCCGGCCCGGGAAGGAATGCTGGAAAAGATGGATGGACACTCAGAGCTGGAGGCTGCCAGCCGGTGCAGTCCCGACCCACGGGAGACCCACACCCCGCGCGGCGTGGCCCCAGGCTCCCCGCGAGCACAGCACACGGTGTTTGCACGCGCTGGGCTCGGAAACACCTCACAAAGAAACAGTGTCCGGAAGCTCGGGCGCAGACAGCATGCGGAGAGGAGCCGGGCGGCCTGGGCCCGCGGCCGTGGGGGCAGCGCCGGGCCTCGGTCCGTCTCCCAGCCTAGTCCAGCTTCTTGCAGGAAGGCCTGCTCCCCACGCCCGGGCCGTCGGGGCTGAAGTCAGCACAGAAGCCGTTGGGGATGGGGGCCGCTGGCGTGTGCGTGCAGCTGTCCCGCCGGGTCTGATCCGGATACAGGTAGTCCTCTGCGAAGCTGGGGACCATCTCTGCAAACCTGCTGAAGTCAGCTGCGGTGGGAAGAGCATCTCTGGTTACTGGGGCCCCGGCCCTGGGGGAGCAGCGGCCCACAGCCCATGGCCCAGGCTCCCCGGGCTGGCGTGGGCATCCGCGTCCCACCGCCCGGTCGTGGAGCATCTAGACTGGCACCGCTTCCTCCACCGCGCACAAGTAGCTGGGAAGACAAGGGGATGGCCGCTGGACGCCTGTGGTGTGTGGGTCTGGGCCAGGGCCAAGGCGCAGGCAGGGGTCCGCCACCCAGAGGCCGGTGCTCGCCCGAGGGGCGTCCGATAGGACCAGATGGCCGCCCCTGCAGCCCCGAGGGTCTGCACTGACCTTTGCACTGACCCCACGGAGGGCCGGCACCCCAGCAACTGCCCACAGCCCCACAAGCGGGCTGTCGACGCTGAGAGGCGCGCGTGCACGGCAGAGGCCGGGCGGTGGGAACCTGCAGAGCGTGCAGCCAGCACACCATGGACGCCACCTGGCCTGCACACCATGGACGCCACCTGGCCTGCACACCATGGACGCCACCTGGCCTGCACACCATGGACGCCACCTGGCCTGCACACCATGGACGCCACCCGGCCTGCACCAGTGCCACAGCCACCCGACACACGCACAGCACCTGCACACATGCCACAGCCACCTGACACGCACACACCAGCTGACACACACACACCAGCTGACACACGCACACACGCACACCATGGGCGCCACCCGGCCTGCACCCGTGCCACAGCCACCCGACACACGCACACACCAGCTGACACACACACACACCAGCACACCATGGGAGCCATCCGGCCTGCACACATGCCACAGCCACCTGACACATGCACACACCAGTACCCACTGGCACGCACAGGGGCGTCTGCATGTTGACCCTAGGAACTCTGCTGATGTGCTAGCTCTGGGGTGTCAGGGCTGTGGCTGTGTGTCTGTCTGCGAGGCCCGGACAGGCCTCTAGGAGAGAGGGGCAGCAGCAGTTTTCTGGCATGGAGTGGCGGACGTGGTTGTCACAGCCCGCGGTTACACTCGCCCTCCAGGGGTGCTGCGCCCGCGGAGTCTGGACGTGGACTCTCTCCGTTGCCTGCCTGGCTTGCAGACTCAACTCAGCCCATGGGGTTCCAGAACTTTCTTCTGCAGAATTAGGCACAGCTGAGGGGCCAGTGGAGCGGCCCGGGGGACCAGGGGCCGGGGTGACCCGGGGTGACCGTGCCTCACACCACTGAGCCTTGGCTGCAGCCACTCCCGGGCCCTCCCCCGTCCCGCTTACCAAATGTGATTCTCCCCTTCTCTTCGTGGTCAATGGCCTGGAACAGGTCGGTCACGGTGAGCTCTGCCACTCCCAGGGCGGTCCTGAGGATGCAGGACAGCCGGTCCTCATCCACGCTGCCGTCCTCCGGCGACCCGTACATCTGAGCACAACAGCAAGGCATCTGGCTAGCGCCCGCCCCCCCCCCCCCCCCCAGCTCCTGCCCTTCACCCCCGGCTGCCCCGGCTCTCCAGACCCTTCTAGAAGTTCCTGTATTCCACCAGGCGGCACTCGGCCGCCCTCACAAGGTGGACACCCAGCCTCAGGGCAGTCTTGGCCTCCCCTGGGGCCCTTCTCGGTCCCTGGTGAGCTTTCTACACGCATATCTTGGCCAAAGCTTCCTTTACTTCCGCTTTGAGAGGCAGAGGAGCTGCGGTTTAACCGGGCAGGGCTGAACACAGCACAGGTGGGTTTTCAGAGCCGCCGCACCAGAACCCGGCGTGTTTCCAGTGTTCACAGTGGGCCTGACAGAGACAGGCCCAAGGGAGGGGAGCTTCCCGGCCACCAACGCCAGCCTGGCTGCAGAGCAGCGGGCCTCCTACCCCACCTCGTGGTCACAGGCAGAACTGCAGCTCCATGTGGTGCTAAGTGTCCGGAGCTGGGAGGCAGTAAGTTTTTTTGTGTGTGTGGTTGGTCCTGGGCCTTGAACTCTGGGCCTGGGCACTACTGTCCCTGAGCTCTTCAGCTCAAGGTGAGCGCTCTACCACTTGAGCAACAGCGCCACCTCCGGCAGCATTGATTTTGAAGAACAGAGTACAGGTGTGTATTTCTACATTCAAGAAAGTATTTTTTCCAGGCTCTAGTGGCTCACACCTGTAATCCCAGCCAATCAGGAAGCTGTGCTCTGACAACTGCAGTTCAAAGCCAGCCCTGGAGGACTAATCCAAGAGACGAGAATTTCTACTTAACCAGCTAAAACCTAGAAGTGGAGGTATGGCTCAAGACACAGCGCGAACCTTGAGCAAAAAAGCTAAGAGAGCACATGAGGCTGAGTTCAACCCAGCACCAGCACAGAAAGGGATCCTCTGCAAGAGAAAGTGGATTTTGGAGCTTCTGGAATATTTTATACACAATGGCCAGCACAGGCTTCATGAATCAGCAGCCAGGCAGAGACAGCCTCGTGATGCACTGAGCCCTCAAACCCTAACAGCCCTGCGTGTCTGCACACCACCTCACGAGAACCCGCAGCCCTGCGTCTGTGTGCACACACCCACTCACGAGAACCCGCAGCCCTGCGTCTGTGTGCACACACCCACACTCACGAAAACCCGCAGCCCTGCGTCTGTGTGCACACCCACACTCACGAGAACCCGCAGCCCTGCGTCTGTGTGCACACTCACACTCACGAGAACCCGCAGCCCTGCGTCTGTGTGCACACACTCACGAGAACCCGCAGCCCTGCGTCTGTGTGCACACACTCACGAGAACCCGCAGCCCTGCGTCTGTGTGCACACTCACACTCACGAGAACCCGCAGCCCTGCGTCTGTGTGCACACTCACACTCACGAGAACCCGCAGCCCTGCGTCTGTGTGCGCACACTCACACTCACGAGAACCCGCAGCCCTGCGTCTGTGTGCACACTCACACTCACGAGAACCCGCAGCCCTGCGTCTGTGTGCACACTCACACACTCACGAGAACCCGCAGCCCTGCGTCTGTGTGCACACTCACACTCACGAGAACCCGCAGCCCTGCGTCTGTGCACACTCACTCACGAGAACCCGCAGCCCTGCGTCTGTGCACACTCACACTCACGAGAACCCGCAGCCCTGCGTCTGTGTACACACACACTCACACTCACGAGAACACGCAGCCCTGCGTCTGTGTGCACACACTCACGAGAACCCGCAGCCCTGCGTCTGTGTGCACACACACACACTCACGAGAACCCGCAGCCCTGCGTCTGTGTGCACACTCACACTCACGAAAACCCGCAGCCCTGCGTCTGTGTGCATACACACTCACGAGAACCCGCAGCCCTGCGTCTGTGTGCACACACTCACACTCACGAGAACCCGCAGCCCTGCGTCTGTGTGCACACACTCACGAGAACCCGCAGCCCTGCGTCTGTGTGCACACACTCACACTCACGAAAACCCGCAGCCCTGCGTCTGTGCGCACACTCACACTCACACTCACGAGAACCCGCAGCCCTGCGTCTGTGCGCACACTCACACTCACAAGAACCCGCAGCCCTGCGTCTGTGTGCACACTCACACTCACACTCACGAGAACCCGCAGCCCTGCGTCTGTGTGCACACTCACACTCACGAGAACCCGCAGCCCTGTGTCTGTGTGTACACACACACACTCACGAGAACCCGCAGCCCTGCGTCTGTGTGCACACACTCACACTCACGAGAACCTGCAGCCCTGCGTCTGTGTGCACACTCACACTCACGAGAACCCGCAGCCCTGCGTCTGTGCACACTCACACTCACGAGAACCCGCAGCCCTGCGTCTGTGTGCACACACACACTCACAAGAACCCGCAGCCCTGCGTCTGTGTGCACACTCACACTCACACTCACGAGAACCCGCAGCCCTGCGTCTGTGTGCACACTCACACTCACGAGAACCCGCAGCCCTGCGTCTGTGTGCACACTCACACTCACGAGAACCCGCAGCCCTGCGTCTGTGCACACTCACGAGAACCCGCAGCCCTGGGTCTGTGTGCACACTCACACTCACGAGAACCCGCAGCCCTGTGTCTGTGTGCACACTCACACTCACGAGAACCCGCAGCCCTGCGTGTGTGCGCACACCCACACTCACGAGAACCCGCAGCCCTGCGTCTGTGCGCACACTCACACTCACGAGAACACGCAGCCCTGCGTCTGTGCGCACACTCACACTCACGAGAACCCGCAGCCCTGCGTCTGTGTGCACACTCACACTCACGAGAACCCGCAGCCCTGCGTCTGTGTGCACACTCACACTCACGAGAACCCGCAGCCCTGCGTCTGTGCACACTCACGAGAACCCGCAGCCCTGGGTCTGTGTGCACACTCACACTCACGAGAACCCGCAGCCCTGTGTCTGTGTGCACACTCACACTCACGAGAACCCGCAGCCCTGCGTGTGTGCGCACACCCACACTCACGAGAACCCGCAGCCCTGCGTCTGTGCGCACACTCACACTCACGAGAACACGCAGCCCTGCGTCTGTGCGCACACTCACACTCACGAGAACCCGCAGCCCTGCGTCTGTGTGCACACTCACACTCACGAGAACCCGCAGCCCTGCGTCTGTGTGCACACACTCACACTCACGAGAACCCGCAGCCCTGCGTGTGTGCACACACCCACACTCACGAGAACCCGCAGCCCTGCGTCTGTGTGCACACTCACACTCACGAGAACCCGCAGCCCTGCGTCTGTGTGCACACACACGAGAACCCGCAGCCCTGCGTCTGTGTGCACACTCACGAGAACCCGCAGCCCTGCGTCTGTGCACACTCACTCACGAGAACCCGCAGCCCTGCGTCTGTGTGCACACTCACACTCACGAGAACCCGCAGCCCTGTGTCTGTGTGCACACTCACACTCACGAGAACCCGCAGCCCTGTGTCTGTGTGCACACTCACACTCACGAGAACCCGCAGCCCTGTGTCTGTGTGCACACTCACACTCACGAGAACCCGCAGCCCTGCGTCTGTGCACACACACTCACACTCACGAGAACCCGCAGCCCTGCGTCTGTGTGCACACTCACACTCACGAGAACCCGCAGCCCTGCGTCTGTGTGCACACTCACACTCACGAGAACCCGCAGCCCTGTGTCTGTGTGCACACTCACACTCACGAGAACCCGCAGCCCTGTGTCTGTGTGCACACACACACTCACGAGAACCCGCAGCCCTGTGTCTGTGTGCACACTCACACTCACGAGAACCCGCAGCCCTGTGTCTGTGTGCACACTCACACTCACGAGAACCCGCAGCCCTGCGTCTGTGTGCACACACTCACGAGAACCCGCAGCCCTGCGTCTGTGCGCACACACTCACACTCACGAGAACCCGCAGCCCTGCGTCTGTGTGCACACTCACACTCACGAGAACCCGCAGCCCTGTGTCTGTGTGCACACTCACACACTCACGAGAACCCGCAGCCCTGCGTCTGTGTGCACACTCACACTCACGAGAACCCGCAGCCCTGCGTCTGTGCGCACACACTCACGAGAACCCGCAGCCCTGCGTCTGTGCGCACACACTCACACTCACGAGAACCCGCAGCCCTGCGTCTGTGTACACACACACACTCACGAGAACCCGCAGCCCTGCGTCTGTGTGCACACTCACGAGAACCCGCAGCCCTGCGTCTGTGTGCACACACACACTCACGAGAACCCGCAGCCCTGCGTCTGTGTGCACACACACGAGAACCCGCAGCCCTGTGTCTGTGTGCACACACACACTCACGAGAACCCGCAGCCCTGCGTCTGTGTGCACACACACTCACGAGAACCCGCAGCCCTGCGTCTGTGTGCACACTCACACTCACGAGAACCCGCAGCCCTGCGTGTGTGCACACACTCACACTCACACTCACGAGAACCCGCAGCCCTGCGTCTGTGTGCACACACACTCACGAGAACCCGCAGCCCTGCGTCTGTGTGCACACACTCACACTCACGAGAACCCGCAGCCCTGCGTCTGTGTGCACACTCACACTCACGAGAACCCGCAGCCCTGCGTCTGTGCACACTCACTCACGAGAACCCGCAGCCCTGCGTCTGTGCACACTCACACTCACGAGAACCCGCAGCCCTGCGTCTGTGTGCACACTCACACTCACGAGAACCCGCAGCCCTGCGTCTGTGCGCACACTCACACTCACGAGAACCCGCAGCCCTGTGTCTGTGTGCACACTCACACTCACGAGAACCCGCAGCCCTGTGTCTGTGTGCACACTCACACTCACGAGAACCCGCAGCCCTGCGTCTGTGTGCACACACTCACGAGAACCCGCAGCCCTGCGTCTGTGCGCACACACTCACACTCACGAGAACCCGCAGCCCTGCGTCTGTGTGCACACTCACACTCACGAGAACCCGCAGCCCTGCGTCTGTGTGCACACACACTCACGAGAACCCGCAGCCCTGCGTCTGTGTGCACACACTCACACTCACGAGAACCCGCAGCCCTGCGTCTGTGCACACTCACTCACGAGAACCCGCAGCCCTGCGTCTGTGCACACTCACACTCACGAGAACCCGCAGCCCTGCGTCTGTGTGCACACTCACACTCACGAGAACCCGCAGCCCTGCGTCTGTGTGCACACACTCACGAGAACCCGCAGCCCTGCGTCTGTGCGCACACACTCACACTCACGAGAACCCGCAGCCCTGCGTCTGTGTGCACACTCACACTCACGAGAACCCGCAGCCCTGTGTCTGTGTGCACACACACTCACGAGAACCCGCAGCCCTGCGTCTGTGTGCACACTCACACTCACGAGAACCCGCAGCCCTGCGTCTGTGTGCACTCACACTCACGAGAACCCGCAGCCCTGCGTGTGTGCACACTCACACTCACGAGAACCCGCAGCCCTGCGTCTGTGCGCACACACTCACACTCACGAGAACCCGCAGCCCTGCGTCTGTGTGCACACTCACACTCACGAGAACCCGCAGCCCTGTGTCTGTGTGCACACACACTCACGAGAACCCGCAGCCCTGCGTGTGTGCACACACCCACACTCACGAGAACCCGCAGCCCTGCGTCTGTGTGCACACACTCACACTCACGAGAACCCGCAGCCCTGCGTCTGTGTGCACACTCACACTCACGAGAACCCGCAGCCCTGCGTCTGTGTGCACTCACACTCACGAGAACCCGCAGCCCTGCGTGTGTGCACACTCACACTCACGAGAACCCGCAGCCCTGCGTCTGTGCGCACACTCACACTCACGAGAACCCGCAGCCCTGCGTCTGTGCGCACACTCACACTCACGAGAACCCGCAGCCCTTCGTCTGTGCGCACACTCACACTCACGAGAACCCGCAGCCCTGCGTCTGTGTGCACACTCACACTCACGAGAGCCGCACTTGCCTTGAATGCCAGCTGAATGGTGTCCAGCGTCCGGGAAGGCCTGCAGACCACAGACAAGGCCACCAGGTACTCGCGCAGATCCATCTTGCCGTCTCCACTCTGTGAAAGAGACGCTGTCCGCGTCGCACGCCGGAGACCCAGCGTGCCTGGCAACAGCTAAAGGCCACTTGAGAATGAGACCTCCTGTGCATGCCTCAAAACCTTACAACGGCTGGGTGCTAGTGGCTCCCACCCGTCATCCTAGCTACTCAGGACGCTGAGATCTGAGGATCAGGGTTCAAAGCCAGTGAGAATGAGCTCCAATTAACCACTAGAAAACTGGAAGTGGCACTGTGGCTTAAGTGGTATACAGCACTCGTCTTGAGCTGAAGAGCTGAGGGACAGTGCCCAGTCCCAGAGTTCAAGCCCCACAATTGAAAAACAAACAAACAAACCTCATGATGAATTCACCATCCTGGAAGAATGACTGTAACTTACCAGGGCTTGCGTACAGAAAACCCCAGCATGCTGGGCATGGTATCTATGCCTGTCATGCTAGCTACTTGGAGGCTGAGATCTGGAGGATCACCAACCAAGGCCAGCCCGGGGGGAGAAGTCTTTGAGGCCCCTGGTGTGGTGGCTCACACCTGTCCTAGCTGTGATAGGACCTATTTCTGTGGCCCACTTCTATGGTCTGGTGCCTCGTGGAGCGCTCGGGCAGGGAGCAGGATGTTGTTAACAGTAACCAGGAACGAAGGGCAGGAGGCACGGGCCGGCAGCACGGATCCCACCTAGCAAGCGGGAAGCCCCGAATTCCAACCCGAGCGCCAGCCGGCCAGGGCCGAGGTCATCTAGGACGTATTCCAATCATCGTGTGAACCACTCAGATTCTAGGAAGTCAGGAGCTAGTGCCCTACCTCGTCAAATAGTGAGAACATGTCTTCCAGGGTGTCGGAGACGGGGACCTCCAGGTACTCAGCGAACTCGGACAGACCGATCCTCTCCCCGCTCCTCCTCTTGGCACGTTCTGAGTATTTGTCCAGGTCTTTTTCAAGTTTTTCTGGTTTTAGCCTAAACGAAAAAGAGGGAATGGCTTTTTCAGTGAAACCCGGATGCTAACGCAGGAGACTCATGGCTGGGTTTGGAAGCTGATGTCAACGTTAAACACGTGGTCTTCAAGCGGCAAGGCGCGCCCTGTCCCTCGTGCCGGCCCCGGTCGCGTCCAGCTGCGTGCCCTGGCCTGCGGGGTCCTGGTTCCCAGAAGCCCCGCCCGGCACAGCACCCACACTGGCAGCTGGCTCCGTCACGCGATTTTTAAGGCCTCTTTCCATGTGGACTCAAGTTGATATTTGAGAAAAACAAAACAAAACAGAAAAGCAGAACAGGCCTACTCGGGACCACCCACTTCGCCGCCTCGCATAGCCTCGGCTGCACCAGGGACAAACCCTCGGTCAATGGCGGGCGCGTACCCGAGACCCCGCACGAGCCTGGCGAACTCTAGCAGGCAGGTGTCAGCAGGGAGCCGGAGCTGGCCTTCTGCCAGGGCCAGCTGGCAGTCCTCGAACGTGTAGTCAGTCACCGAGACGCCCAAGGCCCTGGAACAGAGGGGATGGTCAGCCGCTCCCGCAGCAGCGACCGCGCAGAGGGGCTGCGAGACGCGGGGCCACGACAGGCTACAGGAAGCAAGCGTCCACGGCTTGACCTGCTCCCGATGCCCACGGGGAAGTGCCCACGGCCCCGACCCGCTCCCGATTCCTGCGGGAAGTGCCCACTGCTTCGAGCTGCCTGAGCCTGAGGAAAGCTCGGAGCTCAGGGGCCTCAGAAACAAGCAGGTGCCCCACAGCCCCGGCTCCCACAGCCTCCCGAGGGGGAGATGGCCCGTGCTTCCTCTCAGTGGATGAGGCCCTCACGAGGCTCCACACCAACCGTCCTGTTCAAAGTAAATGCTGAAGAAGGAAATGAGACAAATGTGGACGGAAACCCCCAGGGACACAGTGACCCGGCCCCTGACTCCCGCTGGATGCCCGGGGACACGGTGACCCGGCCCCTGACTCCCGCTGGATGCCCGGGGACACGGTGACCCGGCCCCTGACTCCCGCTGGACCCCTGGGACACGGTGACCCGGCCCCTGACTCCCGCTGGATGCCCGGGGACACGGTGACCCGGCCCCTGACTCCCGCTGGATGCCCGGGGACACGGTGACCCGGCCCCTGACTCCCGCTGGACCCCTGGGACACGGTGACCCGGCCCCTGACTCCCGCTGGATGCCCGGGGACACGGTGACCCGGCCCCTGACTCCCGCTGGATGCCCGGGGACACGGTGACCCGGCCCCTGACTCCCGCTGGACCCCTGGGACACAGCCTGGGGCGGCTGACGGTTTGATATTTGTAAAGTGAAGCAATACCCATCCTCAGGACGTCAAACAAGAGGAGACACCGTCAGATAAAAGCGACAGGAGCTGAATGAAGGCCAGGCAGTGTGGCCACAGGCTGGCACCAGCCCGTTTCCCCGGGGCAGAGCCGGCAGCTTGCTCACTCACTCGGCCATGACGCGCCGCACGTTGCTGGCGTACAGGGCGGGGCTCCTCTCCTCCTCCTCGGAAGGGTGGTACACGGGAAGGAACTGCACAAGGAAAGCTCGTCACCACGAGGCCACCACCCTGGCCGCACCAGGGCCATCAAGAGCCTCAACCACCAGGCTGACAGAACTCAGCAAGAAGTTCATGAGAATCCATCTTTCCCAGGACTCTAACCCACCTCGACCAGGGGTCGACAAAACACAAGCAGAAGGACGCCAGGCCTGGCCAGCTGGCATAAAGCAAGATCCTCTGAAGCAGAGTCCCTGAGTTCAGACTCCAGGACTGCCCCCCTCTGAAAATCCCCCAAACTGCCATGCTTCTTCTCGTTAACAGCGGCACTGCGTAAGGACAGTGAGAGGCATGCTGCACAGCCAGCTAGTCTCTCTTCTCTTAAGGTGAGAAACCACACTGACCACAGGTGGCTCACACCCGTCATCCGAGCGACTCAGGAGGCCGAGCCCTGAGGATTGTGGAGCGAAGCCAGCGGCCACGAGACTCTTTATCTCCAGCAGACTACTCAAAAGAAAGCCGGGAGTAGTGCTGTGACTCAAGTGATAGAAAGCTAGCCTGGAGTACAGAGGCTGGGGACATGCCCAGGCCCTGAAAAACAACGCAAGAAGCCAGGTCTCAAACAGCAGTCTAAATGGAGGAGGCTGTGGCCAGCCCAAGGCCAAGCTCAACCCGGGAGCTGGTGGTGCTGCCACCTGGTGGCCAACAGAAGGAACCACGGCAATGCTAAAAGCAGGGCGGCCCTGGGGGCTCTGCCGGGCCCCTAGCGCCCTCAGTCCTTCAGAGCCCTTCTGCGTAAGTGAACAACGGGCAGGACACCAGGCTGGGCGTCCACTGCTCTGCAAACGGCTGCCGGTGCCCAAGGCAGGCGTGCAAGTCCATCCTGCGACTACCTTTGAGGGAGGGTGGATGGAGTCAGTGTGTGCGTGCAGGACGGCGTAAGGAATCATGGGGGGGCGCCGCGAGGGAGCTCAGCGGGTGGACGTGTGCTGTGTGCACGGTGAAACACCACGGTGACCCCAGGGGACAGGTGACACACACCAAAAAGGGAGCATTCCCATGGGTGTGGCACCCCAGGGGCTGGGTGGAAGAGGGCGGCCAGGACCTGCACATGCACGCCTAAGTGTTCCAGAGAAGACGCTGAGCAGGTGTGAGACTACCACACTGAAGCACCTTTGTGCAACCTGTGTGCCCACAAGAAAGAGAAACAACTCGCACCTTCCACGGACAGCGCTTCAGGCTGCACTCATGATGTTTAATTCAGCCAAGAGAATGGCGTCTGGCCCCGAGAACTCCAGGGATAAATGCTACCCAGCCAGGCAGCCAACAGGCGGGTCACAGGGTGAAGTCAGTGGTGTTAGAATTAGGTACAGATAAAACACTGCTGTGTATGTGCCAGTTTTACACGTGCTTACGCTCCAAAGCCCCGAAGAAACAGTGATAGGCTTAGCTTCCCTCTCAATCTTAAAAATCCTGTCTTAATGGTTCAAAACATGCAGGAAATAAAATCATTTGGGCTAAGTGGCCGGGCACGCCATTCTAAGGGATCTAAGAAATGCAGATACCCAGGCAACATTTTGTTGATATCAGAATGTTACACTATTTAGCAAGGAATCAACACAGCTCCCAGCGGTGAATGCAGTTAACATTGTACCTGTACACAACACTGTATATGCTGAACATACCCTAACACAACACTGGGTAATGTTGTATTCACACATCTTGATTTATAGACTTACACACACGCAACTCAGTAGTTAACACGGAATCCACGCATACCTCTATCTCAGTTAACAGGAATCCATGCATACCTCTATCTCAGTTAACACAGAATCCGTGCATACCTCTATCTCAGTTAACAGGGATCCATGCATACCTCTATCTCAGTTAACAGGGATCCATGCATACCTCTATCTCAGTTAACACAGAATCCGTGCATACCTCTATCTCAGTTAACAGGGATCCATGCATACCTCTATCTCCACTTGGTTGTGAAACTGGCACAGCGTCAGCCACAGGATTTTCAACCTTGAAAACAGCATTGAAGATGTTCAGCTTTGGTTAAAAAGTAAGGACCGGAACTCTCGCAGGTGAATGACTCCCAGCTGTGGAGCAGTCTGAGCCCCGCTTCCCCTCCGTGAGGATGGGGTGCTGCTGGCAGGCCCTGAGCCCCACTTCCCCTCCATGAGGATGGGGTGCTGCTGGCAGGCCCTGAGCCCCACTTCCCCTCCATGAGGATGGGGTGCTGCTGGCAGGCCCTGAGCCCCGCTTCCCCTCCGTGAGGATGGGGGTGCTGCTGGCAGGCCCTGAGCCCCACTTCCCCTCCATGAGGATGGGGGGCTGCTGGCGGCCCCACCTGGCACCCTGGAGAGGTGACTTTCGTTCACATTAAACGTGTGTCCTTGTCTTCAGCTCTTCTAGCTACCTTCTCCTGCGGGGACTCATGTTTATAATGCGACCGCCCGGGGCAGGCAGACCTCAAGCCCGGCGTCAGACCATGTCCCAGGCCCCGTGCTGAGGAGTGCACAGGAACAGAGCGGGCAGCAGCACCCGGGCCCCGTCCTCGGCCGGCCCTCGTCTCTCCTGGGCCAGCACACCGCCAGGCCGCCTCCGTACTCACCGTGGGGTCCTGGGTATGCTTCATCGCGTTGGCCCCAGGCCCAGGCCGGGGGCCCCACAGAGCCCCCAGCCCCTGCCCCGGCCTGAGCTGGCACCATGCGGATCTGTCGTGAGCCCTCCCCAGGGTCATGCTCCACACCCTGGCGAGACCCGAGGGCTGCCGGGGTCAGCACCCTGCCCCCAAGCCCTCGGCCGGCCTCCCGCGGTCCCCTCCTCCACCCCCGACTCTCTACCCTCCCACGCTCAGCTCACACACCACCTCTGGGGCCAGAAGGCGGCCCTCTTCTTCCCTGAGGTTTCTATCCGCTCCTCACTGTCTAACCCCAAGGGCCTCCCTGGTCAAAACACCACCGAGCCCCACGCCAGTGTAGACTGGACACCAAAGCCACCTCGTGGACATTGGCAGTATGAGCGGACAGACATGGGCTGAGTGACCGTCCCCGGTGCTGGGGGCGTAGAACTCGGGTCCCCGGAATCCAGGAGTCCTGTACAAGGCCACACGAGACACTGAGGTCTCATAATGGGCTGAGCCACCGGCAAAGTAACGGGGACAGAGAATCAGCAAGCAGCCCACGCCGCCATGAAGCGAGAGGACAAAGAAGAAGAAACTCACGCTCCAGGTCCTTGCCACGTCCACGTGATGGTGTCCTGCGGGAGGAAGCAGCAGCACTGACCACGCCTGGAGTCTGGTCGTGTGCACACGGCCCCTCCTGGCGCGCCCACCCCCGCTGGCTGCACCCCAGCCCTGCGCTCACCCCCGCTGGCCAGGGCAGGGGAGAAGGGGCTCGCCACCACAGACCCTCAAACACCCACCCGCCCTTCCCAGCGGCCCGGCCTGTGTTCCGGCAGCACAGACCCGGAACTGGGACAGCCTGCTCCTGACGGCGGAGAGGATCCGTGAGAACGCAGGTGCAGGGGAGAGACAGCCTCATTGGGGGGGTGGGGGGGGTGGGGGGGGGTGTGGGGGGGGGTGGGGGGGGTAGGGAGGGGGGTAGGGAGGGGGGTAGGGAGGGGGGCGGCTCCTGACATGGCTCCAAGGCTGCGGGAAAGCCGGCCCCGCCTCGCTGGGCTGCGCGACCTCCTCGCGGCTGCTCCACAGGGGCAAGGGGAGGTGGCAGCCCACGCCCTGAAAACACGCAGGTCCCCACCCCTCCTCCGTGTCCGGGACCCAGGAAGAGAGGACATACCAGTTTGTTTGGATACCGCAACACCACGGGCTGCACCGGGACCCCGGGGATGAAGGCACCTGGGGAAGGAGGTCAGCCTGAGGCAGCGGGAGGGGAGTCCTCGCTCACCCTTCCTGCAGCCTGGAGACACCGGGCTTTTCTGGCAGGCCCTTCCTAGTCCACCCCTGCGCTCAGAGCGCCGGGCACTGCACCCCTGTAGTACCTCCGCCCGAGGCCCACAGTGACAGGCGCCCACGGGCTCCGTGGGGCGCGAGCGAGCACAGGGAAGGCAGAGCCAGGCCCGCAGCCTCCCTCCCGGGCAGGGTGACAGTTTCCTCTCAGCTGGAGTCTCACCTACCGCCCAGGGCTTAGACCTGGAGACACCTTTGCTCACACCACCAGACCCAGGCCGGCCTCTGGCTACCCAGCCGCCACCCCTGAGGACCCGTCATCCCGCGCTGGTGCGCAGACTGCGAGGACGCTCGTGTTGTTCACGGAAGCCTACCTCTGTGAGTCTGTCTGTGCTGGAGACAGACTCCTCACAGCGTGCGGGCTGAACCATCCTGAGGCCTGGGGGCCAGCGGTGAACCGCCATGCCCAGCTTTATACTTAGGTCTCATTTGAAGTTCCTTCTCCTCTTTTCTTACTAGGACCAGGTCTGCCATGGACACTCCAGCAGGCAGCGGGCACGGTCTCTGGCTACTCTACCCAGGGGCTCCCTGAGGGGTTTCCGGGGGCAGCAGACCTGGATGCGGCTGGACAGTACTGCGTCGCCCGGGAGCTGGCGCACACTCCTCCCTGAGCCGCCCACAGCGGCTCTGCCACACGCTGCCATCCAGCCTCACTGTCCCCCCACCCAGCTGTGTCCCAGCAGCCGGGGGCTGCTCCCGGGGAAGCAGATGTTTTCACAGGGGAGCACCACATGGCCTGCCTGGAGACCAGAGACCACGTGTCTCCTCCTCTGTCCATGGTGCTGAGGACGTGGAATTGCCCATGAACAGTCCTGGAGACCCCCCCCCCCCCGCCCAGTCGTAGCCACACCCCGGTGTGCGGCCTGCCCCCTCCATCACCACGCCCTGCCCCGAGCACTCTGCTCAGAGCAACTGAGCAACTGAGGCTGGGTCGCAGTGAGGGCCCTACCCCCTGCCCACCAAGGCCGCCCCGCCCTCCCCTCCACGGATCCGCTCAGGACCCTAGAACTGCCCCCTGCCCTCCAAGAGCCCAGAGGGGCCCGAGGTTGGGCCACCTCGCATGCAGGCAGCACAGCGGCACCCGGACAATTCTCTGGCAGCACTGTGTGGTCTGGGAACAGTTCACAAGGCCCAGCACTTTTGAAAAGCACAGGACAAAAGGCAGGAAGGGAAAACTGGAGACGAAGCCCCTCCAGCCCCTCAGCAAACCCGGCAGTCAGGACAGGACTGTCCTCACAAGGCGGCCAAGGCCAAGGGCAAGACCCCAACGCGAGGAGCAAGTCTGAAGGGGTGCGCCGGTCCCGTCTCCCCGAGACAGCACAGAAGGGGCTGAGGGCCCTGAGAGGCGGGGCGCAGGCCGGGAGGACCCCGTGCGAGCGGCGGCCCTGAGCTGTCCTGAGCAGCAGCCCTGAGCTGTCCTGAGCAGCAGCCTCACACCAAGGCCACAGCTCGGAACAGCGGGGCACAGGCCGGGAGGACCCCGTGCGAGCGGCGGCCCTGAGCTGTCCTGAGCAGCGGCCTCACACCAAGGCCACAGCTCAGAACAGCGGGGCGCAGGCCGGGAGGACCCCGTGCGAGCGGCGGCCCTGAGCTGTCCTGAGCAGCGGCCTCACACCAAGGCCACAGCTCGGAACAGCGGGGCGCAGGCCGGGGGGACCCCGTGCGAGCGGTGGCCCTGAGCTGTCCTGAGCAGCGGCCCTGAGCTGTCCTGAGCAGCAGCCTCACACCAAGGCCACAGCTCGGAACAGAGACGGCCATCCAACTTCCACTCCTCGTCCAGGCGCTGTGCTCCTAGGCTCTGAGCTATGACTTATTCTGTGGCTTTTCTTAGAAATATCTCCAAGATTCCAGCATAAAGAACAACAGGGATTTTAAAAGGTTATTGGCCTATGGCATGATTTATAGAGACACTGCTTTAATATTTCCTTCCTGGAGAAGGAAAGTAATGAAGAAAGCTACCTACCAGGTTTGAAGGTGATCAGGCAGGTCCTATTTGTACAGGTTCCTTCTGGAAAAATCATTATCTTGAAGTGAGAAAAAGAAAGTCAGCACAAAACCATCATGATCACAATCAGGGCTCCAAAGGCAGCATCTTGCCACGCTGCTCCATGCAGGGACCAGGGCTCCACTGAGCTCTGCCTGCGTCGGGCCCTGGAAGCTGAGTGCCCGGAGACCACAGCCCTCACCAGCGGGACCACCGCCCAGTGACACAGAATACGCAGCCCTTATTCTCACTAAGCGTAGCGGGTACAGTGGCTCACGCCTATGTCCTTAGCCAGTAGGGGTTGGAGAAGTTTATCTGAAAAGTAAAGCAGAAAGTGTGTGCTAAAGTGGTGAGTGTCTGCATGGCATGTAAGTGTGAGGCCCTCACTTCAAACTAGAACAAGGAGGGGGGTGAGGGGTGGGGAGGGGGAAAGGCAGGGAGAGACGGACAAGGGAACACATTGGAGGAGGGTGCAGGCAGGAGGAGGGGCAGGAGGACTGGAGGAGGGGCAGGAGGACTGGAGGAGGAGGAGCAGGAGGACTGGAGGAGGAGGAACAGGAGGACTGGAGGAGGAGGAGCAGGAGGACTGGAGGAGGAGGAGCAGGAGGACTGGAGGAGGAGGAGCAGGAGGACTGGAGGAGGAGGAGCAGGAGGACTGGAGGAGGAGGAGCAGGAGGATTGGAGGAGGAGCAGGAGGACTGGAGGAGGAGGAGCAGGAGGACTGGAGGAGGAGGAGCAGAAGGACTGGAGGAGGAGGGGCAGGAGGACTGGAGGTGGAGGGGCAGGAGGACTGGAGGAGGAGGAGCAGGAGGACTGGAGGAGGGGCAGGAGGACTAGAGGAGGAGCAGGAGGACTGGAGGAGGAGGAGCAGGAGGACTGGAGGAGGAGGAGCAGGAGGACTGGAGGAGGAGGAGCAGGAGGACTGGAGGAGGAGGAGCAGGAGGACTGGAGGAGGGGCAGGAGGACTGGAGGAGGGGGCAGGCAGGAGGAGGGGCAGGAGGACTGGTGGAGGGGCAGGAGGACTGCAGGAGGAGGAGCAGGAGGACTGGAGGGGCAGGAGGACTGGAGGAGGAGGAGCAGGAGGACTGGAGGAGGAGGGGCAGGAGGACTGGAGGAGGAGGAGCAGGAGGACTGGAGGAGGAGGAGCAGGAGGACTGGAGGAGGGGCAGGAGGACTGGAGGAGGAGGGCAAGAGGACTGGAGGAGGAGGGCAGGAGGACTGTAGGAGGAGGGGCAGGAGGACTGGAGGGGCAGGAGGACTGGAGGAGGAGGAGCAGGAGGACTGGAGGGGCAGGAGGACTGGAGGAGGAGGAGCAGGAGGACTGGAGGAGGAGGAGGAGGACTGGAGGAGGAGGAGCAGGAGGACTGGAGGAGGAGGGGCAGGAGGACTGGAGGAGGAGCAGGAGGACTGGAGGAGGAGGAGCAGGAGGACTGGAGGAGGAGCAGGAGGACTGGAGGAGGAGGAGCAGGAGGACTGGAGGAGGAGGGGCAGGAGGACTGGAGGAGGAGGAGCAGGAGGACTGGAGGAGGAGGAGCAGGAGGACTGGAGGAGGGGCAGGAGGACTGGAGGAGGAGGGGCAGGAGGACTGGAGGAGGGGCAGGAGGACTGGAGGAGGAGCAGGAGGACTGGAGGAGGAGCAGGAGGACTGGAGGAGGAGCAGGAGGACTGGAGGAGGGGCAGGAGGACTGGAGGAGGAGGGGCAGGAGGACTGGAGGAGGAGGGGCAGGAGGACTGGAGGAGGAGGGGCAGGAGGACTGGAGGAGGAGGGGCAGGAGGACTGGAGGAGGAGGGGCAGGAGGACTGGAGGAGGACGGGCAGGAGGTCTGGAGGAGGAGCAGGAGGACTGGAGGAGGAGGAGGAGGACTGGAGGAGGAGGGGCAGGAGGACTGGAGGAGGAGGGGCAGGAGGACTGGAGGAGGAGGAACAGGAGGACTGGAGGAGGAGGGGCAGGAGGAATGGAGGAGGAGGGGCAGGAGGTCTGGAGGAGGAGCAGGAGGACTGGAGGAGGGGGAAGAGGACTGGAGGAGGAGGGGCAGGAGGACTGGAGGAGGAGGGGCAGGAGGACTGGAGGAGGAGCAGGAGGACTGGAAGAGGAGGGGCAGGAGGACTGGAGGAGGAGGGGCAGGAGGACTGGAGGAGGGGCAGGAGGACTGGAGGAGGGGCAGGAGGACTGGAGGAGGAGGGGCAGGAGGACTGGAGGAGGAGGGGCAGGAGGACTGGAGGAGGAGGAACAGGAGGACTGGAGGAGGAGGGGCAGGAGGACTGGAGGAAGAGGGGCAGGAGGACTGGAGGAGGAGCAGGAGGACTGGAGGAGGGGCAGGGGGACTGGAGGAGGAGGGGCAGGAGGACTGGAGGAGGGGCAGGAGGACTGGAGGAGGAGGAGCAGGAGGACTGGAGGAGGAGGAGCAGGAGGACTGGAGGAGGAGGGGCAGGAGGACTGGAGGAGGAGCAGGAGGACTGGAGGAGGGGCAGGAGGACTGGAGGAGGGCAGGAGGACTGGAGGAGGGGCAGGAGGACTGGAGGAGGAGGAGCAGGAGGACTGGAGGAGGAGGAGCAGGAGGACTGGAGGAGGAGGAGCAGGAAGACTGGAGGAGGAGCAGGAGGACTGGAAGAGGAGGAGCAGGAGGACTGGAGGAGGAGGAGCAGGAGGACTGGAGGAGGAGGAGCAGGAGGATTGGAGGAGGAGCAGGAGGACTGGAGGAGGAGGAGCAGGAGGACTGGAGGAGGAGGGGCAGAAGGACTGGAGGAGGAGGGGCAGGAGGACTGGAGGAGGAGCAGGAGGACTGGAGGAGGAGGAGAAGGAGGACTGGAGGAGGAGGAGCAGGAGGACTGGAGGAGGAGCAGGAGGACTGGAGGAGGAGGAGCAGGAGGACTGGAGGAGGAGGAGCAGGACTGGAGGAGGAGGAGCAGGAGGACTGGAGGAGGAGGAGCAGGAGGACTGGAGGAGGAGGGGCAGGAGGACTGGAGGAGGAGGGGCAGGAGGACTGGAGGAGGAGGAGCAGGAGGACTGGAGGAGGAGGGGCAGGAGGACTGGAGGAGGAGGAGCAGGAGGACTGGAGGAGGGGCAGGAGGACTGGAGGAGGAGGAGCAGGAGGACTGGAGGAGGAGGAGCAGGAGGACTGGAGGAGGGGCAGGAGGACTGGAGGAGGAGGGGCAGGAGGACTGGAGGAGGGGCAGGAGGACTGGAGGAGGAGCAGGAGGACTGGAGGAGGGGCAGGAGGACTGGAAGAGGAGGAGCAGGAGGACTGGAGGAGGAGGGGCAGGAGGACTGGAGGAGGAGCAGGAGGACTGGAGGAGGAGGAGCAGGAGGACTGGAGGAGGGGCAGGAAGACTGGAGGAGGAGGGGCAGGAGGACTGGAGGAGGAGGAGCAGGAGGACTGGAGGAGGAGGAGCAGGAGGACTGGAGGAGGAGGGGCAGGAGGACTGGAGGAGGAGCAGGAGGACTGGAGGAGGAGCAGGAGGACTGGAGGAGGAGGAGCAGGAGGACTGGAGGAGGGGCAGGAGGACTGGAGGAGGAGGGGCAGGAGGACTGGAGGAGGAGGGGCAGGAGGACTGGAGGAGGAGGAGCAGGAGCACTGAAGGAGGGGCAGGAGGACTGGAGGAGGAGGGGCAGGAGGACTGGAGGAGGGGCAGGAGGACTGGAGGAGGAGCAGGAGGACTGGAGGAGGGGCAGGAGGACTGGAAGAGGAGGAGCAGGAGGACTGGAGGAGGAGGGGCAGGAGGACTGGAGGAGGAGCAGGAGGACTGGAGGAGGAGGAGCAGGAGGACTGGAGGAAGGGCAGGAGGGCTGGAGGAGAAGGGGCAGGAGGACTGGAGGAGGAGGAGCAGGAGGACTGGAGGAGGAGGAGCAGGAGCACTGGAGGAGGAGGGGCAGGAGGACTGGAGGAGGAGGAGCAGGAGGACTGGAGGAGGAGCAGGAGGACTGGAGGAGGAGGAGCAGTAGGACTGGAGGAGGGGCAGGAGGACTGGAGGAGGAGCAGCAGAAGGACTGGAGGAGGAGCAGGAGGACTGGAGGAGGAGGGGCAGGAGGACTGGAGGAGGAGGGGCAGGAGGACTGGAGGAGGAGGGGCAGGAGGACTGGAGGAGGAGGAGCAGGAGGACTGGAGGGGCAGGAGGACTGGAGGAGGAGGAGCAGGAGGACTGGAGGAGGAGGAGCAGGAGGACTGGAGGAGGAGGAGCAGGAGGACTGGAGGAGGAGGGGCAGGAGGACTGGAGGAGGAGGAGCAGGAGGACTGGAGGAGGAGCAGGAGGACTGGAGGAGGAGGAGCAGGAGGATTGGAGGAGGAGGAGCAGGAGGACTGGAGGAGGAGGGGCAGGAGGACTGGAGGAGGGGCAGGAGGACTGGAGGAGGAGGGGCAGGAGGACTGGAGGAGGAGCAGGAGGACTGGAGGAGGAGGAGCAGGAGGACTGGAGGAGGGGCAGGAGGACTGGAGGAGGAGGGGCAGGAGGACTGGAGGAGGAGGAGCAGGAGGACTGGAGGAGGAGGAGCAGGAGGACTGGAGGAGGAGGGGCAGGAGGACTGGAGGAGGAGGGGCAGGAGGACTGGAGGAGGAGCAGGAGGACTGGAGGAGGAGGAGCAGGAGGACTGGAGGAGGGGCAGGAGGACTGGAGGAGGAGGGGCAGGAGGACTGGAGGAGGAGGAGCAGGAGGACTGGAGGAGGAGGGGCAGGAGGACTGGAGGAGGAGGAGCAGGAGGACTGGAGGAGGAGGAGCAGGAGGACTGAAGGAGGGGCAGGAGGACTGGAGGAGGAGGGGCAGGAGGACTGGAGGAGGGGCAGGAGGACTGGAGGAGGGGCAGGAGGACTGGAGGAGGGGCAGGAGGACTGGAAGAGGAGGAGCAGGAGGACTGGAGGAGGAGGGGCAGGAGGACTGGAGGAGGAGCAGGAGGACTGGAGGAGGAGGAGCAGGAGGACTGGAGGAGGGGCAGGAGGACTGGAGGAGGAGCAGCAGGAGGACTGGAGGAGGAGCAGGAGGACTGGAGGAGGAGGGGCAGGAGGACTGGAGGAGGAGGGGCAGGAGGACTGGAGGAGGAGGGGCAGGAGGACTGGAGGAGGAGGGGCAGGAGGACTGGAGGAGGAGGGGCAGGAGTACTGGAGGAGGAGGAGCAGGAGGACTGGAGGAGGAGGAGCAGGAGGACTGGAGGAGGAGGGGCAGGAGGACGGGAGGAGGAGGGGCAGGAGGACTGGAGGAGGAGGAGCAGGAGGACTGGAGGAGGGGCAGGAGGACTGGAGGAGGAGCAGCAGGAGGACTGGAGGAGGAGCAGGAGGACTGGAGGAGGAGGGGCAGGAGGACTGGAGGAGGAGGGGCAGGAGGACTGGAGGAGGAGGAGCAGGAGGACTGGAGGAGGAGGGGCAGGAGGACGGGAGGAGGAGGGGCACGAGGACTGGAGGAGGAGGGGCAGGAGGACTGGAGGAGGAGGGGCAGGAGGACTGGAGGAGGAGGGCCAGGAGGACTGGAGGAGGAGGGGCAGGCAGGAGGGTGGCTGGGCAGGGCAGTGCCCAGTGGTCAGTGAGGATGTGCACTGACACCCCATCCATGCTGATCCACACTGAGGCTTGGCATAAGCCACTGCTCTGTGCACTCCAGTCCAGCTCACGCCATTCCTGTCTGGACCTTGTAGGTGATCCTCCTGTCTGGCAGGGTGGGCTAGCACCCCCGAGGGGTGCAGGTGTAGGGGCAGAAGTGGGGTACCCTGGAAGCTGCGAGCCTCCCGGGCTGCCCGTGACCAGACCCACGATGCCCCCTGAGCCACCGGGGCTGGGGAGTCCCAAGAGCCCCAGCAGGTAAGAGTTGCTCAGTTTGAAAGAAAACGTTAGCCGGCGAGCTGGACAGACAGCGTCGCGGCCCAGCAGGGGCTGCTGGACATGCAGCGTCTCAGCCCAGCAGGGGCTGCTGGACACGCAGTGTCTCGGCCCAGCGGGGGCTGCTGGCGGGGGGGGGGGGGGTGGCTATGGGAACGTGGCCTACAGCTGTGCGTGTGTTGTGGTCAGGAAGCTACCTTGCAGGCTCACAGGTCACTCAGAAAGTAGGCCAGATTGAGGGACAGACAGACCAGCCAGCCTCCACCCAGACCTTGGACTAAGGAACCTGACGCACTGGGGAATTCTACTTGGTCACTGCTTTCATCTCAAATCATGGGCTGGGAAGGTGGCTCAGTGGTAGAGCGCTTGCCTTGCATGCCTGAGGCCCTGGGTTCGATTCCTCAGCACCACATAAACAAAAAGAAAAAAGCCGGAAGTGGCTCAAGTGGTAGAGCGTTAGACTTGAGCTGAAGAACTGAGGGACAGTGCCCAGGCCCAGAGTTCAGGCCCCACAACTGGACCCAAAAAAAAAAAAAAAGAAACCCTCAAATCTCAGACACTAAGGCCCAGGTTCCCGGGCACACTCTCTGACTTACACACTCACCAGAACCAAAGCGAGAAACAAACCCCGCGCTGGATAACACGGAGGCCCTGCGCTCCCTGCCTGGTCCTGGTTCCCGGTCCCCAAAGCTCACATCTTTCGGAATAAGCGACTGAGCGGCAGGCGGGCGGCTTACCTGAGGCCACGTGCCAGACTGCGCCCGCCTCTTGATCTCCTCCACAGTCTTCCTGCGCGAGTCCTGGTCGGACCGGGACACGAACACTGGGCGTATGTACCGTATCAGGGCTGCAAGGGGTTAGGAGAGGTCACAGCTCGGCTCCCGTACGCAGGACCAGGTAAGGGGTCCCCAGGGGCCTGGTGTAAGTGCGCCCTCAGAGACGCCCCGCGGGCCTCAACTCCCCCACAAACTTCCTGCCAGTGAGAGTCCTACACCCCAAGTCTGAACGTTACAAAGTGAAGGTTCACCATAAACGAGTTCAGAGTGGAAGCCTGACCCCACCAAAAGCGGACGGATGAAGACACCATGTCCTGACACGGTGCGGACACCGCCCCTGCGAATCTCCAAAGACACACGCGTGTCTGTGTGCCGGCCCTCTGCACGGGAGGTGCTTGGGATAGCCAGCGAGGATGCGTCCACCCCAGTCCAAAGAACTGAGGAGAGGCAGAGGGAAGGGCCAGGAGGGCTGTGTGGTACCCACAGGGGCGCGAGGGGCTGACAGGAGAATGCTGGCCACTGCCAGGAACAGGGCCGCCGGCATCGCCCAACAACACCCGGATTCTCCGGCTTCCAGCACAGTGAGAGAGAAGGCAGCAGCGGTGCTCAGCTGGGCGAGGCCCGGGCCTCGGTGCTGCTCAGCTGGCCGAGGGTGCCCGCGGGGGCCTCGGTGCTGCTCAGCTGGGCAAGGGTGCCCGCGGGGGCCTCGGTGCTGCTCAGCTGGGCGAGGGTGCCCGCGGGGGCCTCGGTGCTGCTCAGCTGGGCGAGGCCCGGGCCTCGGTGCTGCTCAGCTGGGCAAGGGTGCCCGCGGGGGCCTCGGTGCTGCTCAGCTGGGCAAGGGTGCCCGTGGGGGCCTCGGTGCTGCTCGGGCGTGGGTGCCCGCGGGGGCCTCGTTGCTGGTCAGGCGTGGGTGCCCGCGGGGGCCTCGGTGCTGGTCAGGCGTGGGTGCCCGCGGGGGCCTCGGTGCTGGTCAGGCGTGGGTGCCCGTGGGGGCCTCGGTGCTAGTCAGGGATTGGTGCCTGCGGGGGCCTCGGTGCTGCTCAGGTGCTCAGGCGTGGGTGCCCGCGGGGGCCTCGGTGCTGGTCAGGGATGGGTGCCCGCGGGGGCCTCAGTGCTGGTCAGGCGTGGGTGCCCGCGGGGGCCTCGGTGCTGGTCAGGCGTGGGTGCCCGCGGGGGCCTCGGTGCTGGTCAGGGTTGGGTGCCCGCGGGGGCCTCGGTGCTGGTCAGGCGTGGGTGTCCGCGGGGGCCTCGGTGCTGGTCAGGGATGGGTGCCCGCGGGGGCCTCGGTGCTGGTCAGGGATGGGTGCCCGCGGGGGCCTCGGTGCTGGTCAGGTGCTCAGGGATGGGTGCCCGCGGGGGCCTCGGTGCAGCTCGGGCGTGGGTGCCAGCAGGGGCCTCATTGCTGCTCAGGGATGGGTGCCCTCGGGGGCCTCGGTGCTGGGCAGGGATGGGTGCCCGCGGGGGCCTCGGTGCTGGGCAGGGATGGGTGCCCGCGGGGGCCTCGGTGCTGGGCAGGGATGGGTGCCCGCGGGGGCCTCGGTGCTGGGCAGGGATGGGTGCCCGCGGGGGCCTCGGTGCTGGTCAGGCGTGGGTGCCCGTGGGGGCCTTGGTGCTGGTCAGGCGTGGGTGCCCGTGGGGGCCTTGGTGCTGGTCAGGAGTGGGTGCCCGCGGGGGCCTCGGTGCTGGTCAGGGATGGGTGCCCGCGGGGGCCTCGGTGCTGGTCAGGCGTGGGTGCCCGCGGGGGCCTTGGTGCTGGTCAGGCGTGGGTGCCCGCGGGGGCCTCGGTGCTGGTCAGGGATGGGTGCCCGTGGGGGCCTCGGTGCTGGTCAGGCGTGGGTGCCTGCGGGGGCCTTGGTGCTGGTCAGGCGTGGGTGCCCGCGGGGGCCTCGCTGGTCAGGGTTGGGTGGCCGCGGGGGCCTCGGTGCTGGTCAGGCGTGGGTGCCCGCAGGGGCCTCGGTGCTGGTCAGGCGTGGGTGCCCGCAGGGGCATGCCACCGCAGCTGCTGTGTGCTGGTCCTTCCAAAAGAGCATGTAACGTGGAAAGGCAGTCCTCAGAAAATGCTGAAGCTTTAGAATAAACCAGTCGGGCAGGGCTTTCCATCTGAGATGCAGTGGGAGTGGGCTTCCCACAGTCACCCCAGGCCGGCCGGCCTGCCTGCCTGCCTGCGGGCCTGCCTGCCTGCCTGCCTGCCTGCCTGCGGGCCTGCCTGCCTTCCTGCCTGCCTGCCTGCCTACCTGCCTGCCTGCCTGCCTGCCTGCGGGCCTGCCTGCCTGCCTGCCTGCGGGCCTGCCTGCCTGCCTGCGGGCCTGCCTGCCTGCCTGCCTGCCTGCCTTCCTGCTGCCTGCCTGGCTGCCTGCCTGCCTGCCTGCCGGCCTCACTCGGGCTCACCTGGCTGCACAGTCCTCGCCTGGGGTTCTTTTCTTTGCCACTTGTAAAGAGTATTTTGTGACTTTTCCTCTTTCTTGGATGTCTCCTAAGAGCGCAAAGTGAGCTGGGCACCGGTGACTCACTCCTGTAATCCTAGCTACCCAGGAGGCTAAGGACTGAGGTTCAAAGCGATCTCAGACAGGAAAGTCTGTGAGACTCCTATCTCCAATTAACCACCAAAAAGCTGGACGTGGAGGTATGGCTCAAGTGGCGAATCTCCAGTCTGGAGCAAAAAAGCTCAAGGGCAGTGCCCAGGCCTGGCGACATCAAGCCCCAGGACTGGCATGCACACACAAAAACTCATGATCTTAAAAAGGAAACGCTCTGTTCTTGCAATTACTGGTCAGGACAGGGGACTCTCCTGGAGGTCCAGGGTGCCTGTGGTCCTGCCGTCGGGAGGTCTTGTTTTTCTTACATCTTGAATCATGGCCATTCTGCCATTCCGGAGACTACTTCACCCTTACTCATCGGCTTCCTGCTGCTGCTACCCTGGCTGTTGAGAACGAGAGCATGGTGGAGAGAGGGGCAAAGCCACAGAAGCCCAGGCTTCTCCAGAGGCGGTGATGCCCTGAGGACAGCACCTGGGTCTGTGGACATCACTGAGAACAGAAGTCCAGGGATCGATCTTCTTCTGTCTCTAATGGTAAGATGAGAAAATGAGCATGGAAGGCAGCCTCGATTATTAGGCGAGTCCAGGGATCAACACGGGAGGGGAGGGGGCCTGCCAGAACCCATCGTCTGAGTGACCCCTGGGTGGTGTTTGGAGCAATCCTGGTGAACCTTGTCACCCCTGTAACGCCTGAAAATGGAGCCTGGGGGTGTAGGTTCTGGGGCAGGAGGGACCACAGTGCTTGCTGGGAGCGCACCACGCACGCAAGGGTGGCAGGCTGCTGGCAGGCCACGGCAAGCCTGCGGCCCTGTGGCACCGTAGACACGGGCGGTGCTCAGAGGAGGCCAGCCACGTGGGGTCACCCACCAGTCATGCCGATAGCTCTAAAATGAACTTGTTTAAAATGTTTTCAACAAAGTTGTGAGCCCAAGGGGTTTGGAAGCCCCTGCTCCAGAAGCGGGGGCGGCCCCGCTTGCTTGGGGCTTGGCATTATTTCTGTGGTTGGCTTCTCTTTCTAAGGACGGCGGCTGGACAGGCTCACGCTGCCTCCAGCTTGACTTGGCATCTCACTTTACCTCGGGGAGAACCACAGACCCTGGTCCCCTACATCAGATCTGCTTCACCTCTGCAGAAGCTGGGGTGTGGAAGCTGAGAACTGACTGCAAGTCCTGTCGCCTACACGTCCTCTGTGGCCAAAGAGTGTCCTCGATATTCTGAGCTCGCTCAGGGCCTGGGGTGCAGTGAACTGGGGTGTAGAGAGGAGCTTGTTCTCAGGGGACAGTAACAGGACCGGAGCCTGGGGGGCGGGGGTGGAGAAAAGGGGGTACAGAGGGGTGTTCGTTCTCAGGGGACACTAGCAGGACCGGAGCCTGGGGGTGGAGATGCAGAGCACCTTAGACCTCCAGCCTGCACAGGACAGTTCTGAAAGGCACATAGCTCCTCTCCTGGAGCACCCATCCTCAGAGGCCAGGAGGATCAACTGGGAGCATCAATGGCACACAGTACCAAGGACACTGCACGGGGCAGGAGACACCTGTCCCTCCCCGTCATGCATTCAAGAGTTAATTGATACGGCGGCAGGTGGAGCCACATTCAAAGCCTGGCCAGGGCCGATGACAGGGAACCCTCCTCCTATGGTGCTCCCCACAGCGCCCACACCCCCAAGCCCTTCTCCTCGTGCCTGGAACTCTCCACGGTACTCCTCTGCACTGCTGGACCTCGGGGGAGGCTGCTGGGGTGTGGAGAGCAGCCCAGAGGGACAGTGCTGCGGGCCCAGCAGTTGTGTCCCCGCCCCAGAGCCCCTACCTGTGGCCTAGAGGACGGAGGTCTTGGAAGATGCCACCCAGCAACACGAGTGACACGAGATGAGGGACAGCAGGGCCGCAGGAGGCAGGAAGGGGACAGGGTGCTCTGGAGAGCACGGCCTGCTCTCGGGACGCTGGACTTCCAGTTCCAGAATGAGGCCCGCTGCCTACACAGCCCTCGGGCCTGCTCGGAGTCCACCGGACCACAGGCTTTTGTGGTCCATGCAGCCGCTGCTGCGTGGGTACAGCCTGCCTGGTGAGCAGCCCCAGACGCTGCGTGGCTGGGCGACAAGACCCGAGCCAGCAGGGCAGACCTCAGCCACGTGGTGCGCCTAAAACTCACTCAGCCCCTGCCACAGAGGAGGCCACCACGGGAGAAATGGGCAGGGCAGGGCCTGTGCCATGGGGAGTGGCCTACAGGGAATGTGTGTTGCAGGGTGGGGTGGGGTCCAGGCCTGTGTGGAGCCCCCACCCACAGCTTCTCCTGGGGGCCTCAGACCCACGCCCAGGCTCCTCACCTCCAGGTCACACAGCCGGCCTCCCTCGCCTCCCGGGTCACACACCCCGGCCTCCCTCGCCTCCCAGGTCACACACTCCAGCCTCCTTCACCTCCCGGGTCACACACCCCGGCCTCCCTCGCCTCCCGGGTCACACACCCCGGCCTCCCTCACCTCCCAGGTCACACACCCCAGGCTCCTCACCTCCCGGGTCACACACCCCAGCCTCCCTCGCCTCCCGGGTCACACACCCCAGCCTCCTCCACCTCCCGGGTCACACACCCCGGCCTCCCTCACCTCCCGGGTCACACACCCCGGCCTCCCTCGCCTCCCGGGTCACACACCCCGGCCTCCCTCACCTCCCGGGTCACACACCCCGGCCTCCCTCGCCTCCCAGGTCACACACCCCGGCCTCCCTCGCCTCCCGGGTCACACACCCCAGCCTCCCTCGCCTCCCAGGTCACACACCCCGGCCTCCCTCGCCTCCCGGGTCACACACCCCGGCCTCCCTCGCCTCCCAGGTCACACAGCCGGCCTCCCTCGCCTCCCGGGTCACACACCCCGGCCTCCCTCGCCTCCCGGGTCACACACCCCAGGCTCCTCACCTCCGGGTCACACACCCCGGCCTCCCTCGCCTCCCGGGTCACACACCCCAGCCTCCTCCACCTCCCGGGTCACACACCCCGGCCTCCCTCGCCTCCCGGGTCACACACCCCGGCCTCCCTCACCTCCCGGGTCACACACCCCGGCCTCCCTCGCCTCCCGGGTCACACACCCCGGCCTCCCTCGCCTCCCGGGTCACACACCCCGGCCTCCCTCGCCTCCCGGGTCACACACCCCGGCCTTCCTCGCCTCCCGGGTCACACACCCCAGGCTTGCTCGCCTCCCGGGTCATAAACCCCGGGCTCCCTCACGTGCAGATCCCCCCCAGGTTTACTCACTTCCCCAGATCGGGATGTTCCTGCTCTCCGCCTTCATCACAATGGAGGACATGGTCATAGTGACAGGGATAGCATCGAAGTAGGATGAGTGTGGTGCCAGGGTCAGGATGGTGGCTTCGGTGGGCAGGGCCTGTTGTCCCTTCACAGCTATGCGGTGGAAGCCACCGGCAAACCACATAGTGCGCATGATGGCCTTCAACAGAAAGTCCACAACCCTGCAAAGAAGGCAGCACGGTCAGCTCTGCTGTCCTGGAGGACAAGGGTCAGCACGGGACGAGCGTGCACTCAGGTCTAGTGTCCTGGAGGACAAGGGTCAGCACGGGACGAGCGTGCGGTCAGGTCTGCTCTGCTGTCCTGGAGGACAAGGGTCAGCACGGGACGAGCGTGCGGTCAGGTCTGCTGTCCTGGAGGACAAGGGTCAGCACGGGACGAGCGTGCGATCAGGTCTGCTCGGGATGAGGGCACAGGGGATACAGCAGAGGCTCCGGGCAGCTGCAGTGGCCGCTGTGGGAAGGGATGTCTTGCTCGCTTTCCCTGGGCACTGGCCAGCGAGTTTTTCTCATCTCTCAGACATGTGGAAGGCTCTCGCTGCCCACTGCAAAGCAACTCTTGGACAACACCCAGCCGCTCAGTACTAACAGAATCAGCTGTGTCAAGAGGAAGACCAGCAGCCTTTCTACAGCATTTATCACGTTTAAACCAAAGGACACGGACACATAGAGCGAATGTAAACACAGGGAATTCCGTGTCTATTTGGACTTCCCCAGACCTGTGCCCCCAGATGCTGCAGTTCCTGAAGCCAGACCTCACATGGTCAATGTGACTCCAAAGCCAGATGGACGTGAATGTGAAAAACCCAGATGCCCTGCAGTGGCTGGAGAAAACGTGGCATATATACCCAACGGAGTGTTAGTGCGCCACGAGGGACGGGTCTGGAGGCCAGGATATTAACTGAACATTAACTGGGTTCAGAAGGAACAAGGCCACACGTTTTCTCATGTGTGATGCTAGACTCAAAAGATAAGCGTATGGGTACACACAGGGTCATTCACGTACGTGCACGTGTGTATGAACAGTCTGACTAGAGTGCAGGAAGGTAGGTGTGTGTGTGAGAGCCCTTTGAGGAAGTAACAAGCATTTAACAATGAGCAATAGGATGGTGAAACGCATCCTGCGGGGAGCGGAAGCCAGAGGCGGGATGGTGCACGCATGGCGGGGAGGGGGAGGGGGGGCGGGAGCGGCAGGGGGAGGGGCAGCGGCAGGGGGAGGGGGCAGCGGCAGGGGGAGCCTGCACGCGTGGACACAGAACGCCTGGCTGGGAGGGGGAGGGGGAGCGGGAGCGGCAGGGGGAGGGGCAGCGGCAGGGGGAGGGGGAGCCTGCACGCGTGGACACAGAACGCCTGGCTGGGAGGGGGAGGGAGGGGGGGGGCGGGGGGGGCAGCGGCAGGGGGAGGGGCAGCCTGTCAAAGCGTTCTGCACACAAGCATGGACACTCAACACGAAACCCCCTTGCACAACTAACTGATGGCTAACAAGAAAAGCACTACAAAAACTGCAATCGGTCCGGATCAACTAACTTGCTCCCTAGGCAGCCTTTTTAGTCAGGTGGCAGTCTAGGCATCCAAACCTGTATCTTCTCCTTCCTTCCACCCTTTGACACGTGGTGCCCTCACCCCTGCAGCTCAGCGCTCCACACCGTGAGTGACACAGATGAGAGCCATGGACTGAGCAGCCTCCAAAGGAACCGTGCCTCCTGGCTGACAGCCTCGTGCAGAACTGCCGCTCAGCGAAGCCATGCCCAGCCTCGCCGCGCGGCCGTCCCCGGGGACGGGGACGCTGGGGAGGACCCAGGGCCCCCGGGAGCCGCCTCGGGAGACCCTTGCTATTTGGAGGATAAACAATCACTGTGGTAGGATAATCTGGGGACCGAGCCCTGGCGCTCTAATTCTAGGGCTGAGGGTCACACACAGGCATGCACATTTCTCCTGAACATCCTCACATTTTCTGAAGGGCTGTTATTTTCAAATAAAATGGCAACAGAGACAGACACCAACTGAGGGGTGAGGAAGAAGAGGAGACCGTGGAGGAGATGAAGCGGCTGCAGGCGGGCTGTGGGGGTGGGAGGCAGGCTGGGGTTGGACAGGAGACATGGGGACAGCATTAGAGAATGGGCCGGGCTGGGCTGGCGTCTCTGCACACAGCTTACCACACAGTCCCCCGTGGCCTACAGAAAGAACTCTGAGCATGATGCTCAGGACAGGACCAGCAGGAGGTGGGCATGGGTCCCGGACAGACAGGTAAGGAGGGGCAGGGCAGGCCCCATGGATCCCCAGAGCCTCCCAGGTGCCGCCCCGCTGACTTACTTCCTCCACAAGGCCGGGGGCTGCTCGGGCTCCTTGTCAGGAGGCCCCAGCGAGGCCACCAGTGCCAGCGGCCAGGCCAGCAGCATCATGAAGGCAGCAAACAGGAGGCGGATGGGAAACAGGGTCAGCGACATGACGGCCACCTGTGAAGACAGGAGCGTGTCATTGGAGGAGCTGCTGCTGGGGGCGGGCCAAACCTGCCCGGACCTGGCCGCCGCGGGCCTGCCACCCCCTGCCTCCTGGCAGAGCCCGAGGCGCCAGGCTGGGGACAGCACGAGGCGCTTCCTCTGTATGGGCAGTGGGCGCTCCGACCACGGCCGGCAGCCTGGCACCCGAGACTGGAGCCCAGGTCCTCATGCCTGTCCTCTGCATCCCTGCAGTGTCGCTCGTGTGGACATGAGACTGTCATGTGAGAGGCAGCAAGGAAGCAGGAAGGGAGCTTACAGGACCGGACCTGGGCCAGAGAGGCAGGAGGGTCAGCGTGGCTTTCTGGTCCAGGCAGGCCCAGTGGTGACAGTGGGGCCTGGGAGGGATGAGGTCTCAGGTCAGAAAGCCCCGGTGGAGGGGGCTGGCCCTGCGCACGGAGGGACCTTCCCGAGCGCACTCCACGCCGCAGCATGCGCGCACGCTCCACACGCAGCCTTGCACACCGACGCAACCACCTATGGCGGCTCTGACGCCCTTCCCAGAGCGCCATGAGGCCTGCCACCACCAGTGTGCACCTTACAGGTGAGAACACACCTGTGTGCCTCACTTAGCCGTGTTTTCTCTGGATTTCCGGCAAGTGCAGCCGGAATTCACCAAACGCTCCTGCCTGCCTGCTCTCACTGAATCTGCTAATGCGATGGGGCACCGCGGCCTTGGCCACTAACCTTTGCTCACGAGCTCACACAGCCCCGGAGCTGCCTGGCAAGGCTGGTGCTGGGCACGGCCGGGCCTGCTGTCCCCTCCTCCGGCGGCCCCTGTGCGTGCCCCCCCCCCCCATGGGTGGGTCTGTGGCTGCTGGACTCACCTCTCTAGAGGTAGTTACAGACCACATTTGATCCCAGGTTCACTTGGACGTTTACTCCATGAGACCACCCCTCACCCCATGTTCAGAAACACGACAGTCTTTGTTTTCCCCTGCTCTAAGCAATGATGCAAAAGTCCCAGAAACAAACAATACCCAGGTTTTAAACTGTGCCTCTCTCAAGTATGGAAGTTTTATGTCACGGGCTCTGTCCTGACAGGGATGTGTGAGCCCCAAAGACACCCAGATCCTCAGCTCAGAGGGCTCGCACACGCCCAGGGGACACGCCGTGTGGGGACAGGGCTCAGCTCAGAGGGCTCGCACACACCCGGGGACAGAGCGTGTGGGGACAGGGCTCAGCTCAGAGGGCTCGCACACGCCCGGGGGACACAGCGTGTGGGGACAGGGCTCAGCTCAGAGGGCTCGCACACACCCGGGGGACACGCCGTGTGGGGACAGGGCTCAGCTCAGAGGGCTCGCACACGCCCGGGGGACACGCCGTGTGGGGACAGGGCTCAGCTCAGAGGGCTCGCACACACCCGGGGGACACAGCGTGTGGGGACAGGGCTCAGCTCAGAGGGCTCGCACACACCCGGGGGACACGCCGTGTGGGGACAGGGCTCAGCTCAGAGGGCTCGCACACACCCGGGGGACACAGCGTGTGGGGACAGGGCTCAGCTCAGAGGGCTCGCACACACCCGGGGACAGAGCGTGTGGGGACAGGGCTCAGCTCAGAGGGCTCGCACACACCCGGGGACAGAGCCCCACTGTCGTAGTGAGCTGGACTGGCTGTCTGGAAGCCGAGGGCAGCCCTGCTCCGCACTTGCTACGAGGCTGTCTTGGGAGGGTGGGTACAGCGTGAGCACCACTGTCAGGACCTGCAAGAGCACGGGTGTGTCTATGGCTACTGCACCTCCACCATGGCTGGCACCAATTTGCACACTGGATTTCCTTGCCTTGGGGGGTGGGGCGGTGCTGTGCTGGAAACCCTTTGCAGGCCGGGCTGACTGGAAGGCCTGCAGCTGCTCTGCCCCACAGGCTCAGGCCCGCCTGTCGGCCGGGCCACCGGTCTCTGAGTCCTGCTGCCCTGGAGGTTGCTAAATTCCCTGCCGAAGGTCGACTGTGACAAACCACCTCATTAGACACAGAGCCTATTAAGACGCCAGAGATAATCTGGGTGAGATCTGGAGGTGGACTTCCTGCCCTAATCAGGCAGTCTTTCTTGGGGTGGGTCTGAGCACTGGCCACAAGGCCCCTGCGCAGCAGCTGGGGCCTCACAGCCCCACTCCCATCCCGGGGACCGAGGCTCTTCGCTGAGGCCGAGTCCAGGCCAGGGGTGGAGAGGGAGGAAATACCCACACACCTGGTGCAGGGGAAAACGAACAGGAAGCGACAGAACTTGAGTCCTTCCTGGAAACAGCAAAGTGACCAGACCAGCTCTTCCTGAAAACAAGGAAGTAGCCTGTAAGCAGGAAGTGGCAGGACTTCCTGGAAACAGGAAGTGACCTGAAAATAAGCAGAGCCAGGGCTCCAGCTCTTCTTGAAAACACACAAGAGCCCAAAGGCCAGGCCCAAGTCGTATCTGGGCATCAACAGGCTGGAGCATCAGACACAGCTCAGGTCTACAAGCAGGTGTGCACACTGGTGTACATACACAGTCACCCTCACTGTCTGTGGTTCCTGGAGGGTCGGGAAACCCACTGCTGAGCACGAAGCTTGGCCTGGCACTAGACTCCGGCCAGCACCCTGCCCGGTCAGCGGGTGGGGGTGCCTGCGGCCAGTGCTCCAGAGCAGTCAACTGGCCGGCCGGCTGGCCTCCGGTCACCGAGACGCCATCACCACCCACCCACACGGCCGGTGCAGTGGCCCCGCGGTCATCAGCAACACCAGGGCACAGACATGCCCTCAAGAAGGCCAGAATCCTGGAGAACGGTGTCCAGTCTCTACCCATGCTGTTGGGGAATGGGCAGGGATGCTGTCTGCCGTGAAACCACATGAAGGAGGCCGTGGCCAGCAGGCGTAAGCCACAGTCCCCTCCAGCCACACACTGGAGACCAGCCCTCAGGCAGCCTGGCCAGAGGCCAAGACCTCCATGATGTCTGCACCGATGTCTGGAACCTGCCACGAAAGCAGCCACACCCTCTGTGCCAGCAGCCTGAACTGCCCCTGCAGACATCAGTGCAGCGGCCACAAAAGCAGCACCAGTGGCACTGGCCCAAGTCAGCACCCTGGACAGCTAACAGGCCAGGGTGGTGGTCTGCAGAAAAGTTAGCAGCACTCCATGGACATGGGCAAGTGGGCAGCCACAGAAGCACGCCCGCCCGCAGTGGCCACACCGTAAGACGCGTGTGTCCTCAAGGCAGAAGTAGAGCCTGGTGCTCACGCGGCGTGTCGTCTGCCTGTCAGCCCGGGTTGTTATGGAGGCTCCTGGGTAAGAATCAAGGTCTGCCACGCCGCGTGTGATGAGGAGGCTGGTCCTTCAGACTCCCTGCACTTACAGGGCTCCTCTCGGAGCACTGGAAGATCAGGGTGCCTGGGGTCCAGGCAGAGGACCCTAGGAGCGACCAGGAGGATGCAGTGCCCAGCAGTGACCACACACAGGAGGGGAAGCCTGCCAGGCTCCAGGAATCGTGTCCAGCAAGCTGCCCACGGACTGCCCGGGACCTGACCTCCTCAGGCGCACAGGCAGCACTGAGGCCAGAGCGAAGGGCACCTGCTAGGCTCTGCCAGGCCACGCTGGACCGCCAGCCTCGCAGAGGCTCTGGCTCCAGGACACCCACCCCAGACACAGGGAGGGCCACACAGAAGAACCGCTCCAGTAGCACCTCCTGAACCCCACCGGCTGCTCTGGACCGGACAGTCCCTGCTCGGGAGCCTAGGCAGACACCCAGACAGGACTGGGATGGGGGACAGTGGGCTGGTCAGAAGAGGTACATCCACCACAAATGTCCGGGAGGTGGGGAGGACCCCGGGGGCAACAGGGCAGGCAGGCTGGCGGGCCAGAGGTCTGCACGGCCAGCGGCTGCAGCCGACGGCTCCCGAGGAACGTGCGGCACTCGGGAAGGTGAACAGGTTTCCACAGATGCCTGTGGCCCAGGTAACCTGGCTCAAGTCCTCTGCCTCCCCATGCCTCCCGAGGCTCATGGGCCCCAGTACCACGCCCATCTGGGGCCTTGAGGGTTCCTGGTCCCCAAGAAACCCCTGGCCACACCTCTTCTCATACCCAGGTAGCCTTGAAAAGCGCGGCCCTCAGGTCGGGTCTTCAGAGAATCAAGGCCTCCCTCCCCCCACCCCCCAGCTATCTTGGAAGACAGCTGGCCAGCTGGCAGACCTTCGGCTGCTCAAAGGCCTACTGCACAGCCAAGCCGGGGCTCCCGGGCTCCCAAACACATCAAGCCTGGGTCCCAACCATGGGCTTCTCCTCTCCGGGACAGTGACCCGAATGCCAGCACTGAGGGGCCGTGTCATGGACCAGGGGCTCCCAACAGCTTCCCAGTGCAGACGCCAAAGGCAGGGTGGGAACTCAGGACCAGCTGGGGCACAGAGGCCCTGCTGGAGAGGCCAGCCTCAGTTCTGAAGGACGGGTGGAGGCCCTGCTGGAGAGGCCAGCCTCAGTCCTGAAGGAGGAGGACGGGTGGAGGCCCTGCTGGAGAGGCCAGCCTCAGTTCTGAAGAAGGAGGATGGGTGGAGGCCCTGCTGGAGAGGCCAGCCTCAGTTCTGAAGGAGGACGGGTGGAGGCCCTGCTGGAGAGGCCAGCCTCAGTCCTGAAGGAGGAGGATGGGTGGAGGCCCTGCTGGAGAGGCCAGCCTCAGTTCTGAAGGAGGAGGACGGGTGGAGGCCCTGCTGGAGAGGCCAGCCTCAGTCCTGAAGGAGGAGGACGGGTGGAGGCCCTGCTGGAGAGGCCAGCCTCAGTTCTGAAGGAGGAGGATGGGTGGAGGGCCGGCAACTTCTGCTGGCATCTTGTGCTCAGCGCCACCCCAGGGGCCTGAACTGCTTACCACAGATCCCCAGCCTCCGAGGCCGGGGTGGTGGGGCTTCCCCGGGAGGACTGGAAACTGACACCCAGGGCACCCAGATGCAGGAGAGCTGGGCCAGAGCCCCACGTTTCCTACTACCGATAACTATAAAGTGAGC